TCCAACATGGCAACTTGCTTCAAGACAAAACATGTGAAGCCAAGAACACAAGGATCTGTTAGCAAGAGGGAAGTCACAATCTTTTGTAATCTAATCACTGAGGTGACATCCACTCAATGTTGCTGTATTCTATTGTTTAGAACCAACAGGACGAAGGGGAATGGATTATTAACCAGGGCCAAGAATATTAGGACGAGGGATCACTAGGGTCATCTTAGAAGCTTCCTAACACAAATGTCACCAAGGGCATATGCTTGTGTCAATTTTACCACAACCTAACGCTGAATGTTTTAGTATTTAAAATTACTAGTATGGGCCAGGTGAAGTGGCTCACACTTGTAATCCCAGCACTTTGGGAGGCCTAGGCAGATGGATTGCTTGAGCCCAGAAGTTCAAGATAAGCCTGGGTAACATAGCAAAACTCTATCTTACAAAAAATAAAATTAGCTGGGCATGGTGGCACATACCTGTAGTACCCAGTATTAGGGGGACTGAGGTGGGAGGGTTGATTGAGCTCAGGAAGCCAAGGCTGAGTGAGACTCTTCTCAAAAAAGAAAGAAAAAAAAAATTCTTGTATAAAGGACCACCTTCCACACTAATGCCCTCCTCTCCAGCCTGGTGTTTCCCCCTAGGGCCACGTGGGTCCTCTGCTTGCAGTTGTTGCCAAATAACCTCCAAAAGATGCCAACTGATAGCAACCTAAAGAATTGTCCTAACTGAACCAGGTCTTTGAAAAGCTTTAAAGCAAAGCTGTATTAGGCAGCAGCGGGTTCTTTGGATGCTGGTATTTGGGCAGCAAACTCCAAGATCTGAACACCTTATGCCATTTAGAAGCACTAACATTTAGAAAATCAATCTTCTTTTAAAGCTGACTATATATACCCTCACATTTTGCCAACTTTCTTTCACTTTCATCATCAAAACCATCCTGTAAGGTACACAGGAATACACCTATTTTACAGATAGAAACTTATGACCAGAGATGTGAGTCATTCATTCCAGAGGGCCCTGATAAGTGGTAGGCCAGGATTTGAACCCAGGGATGGCTGCCCGCTCTGCTCTCTCCCTGCCTCCTGAGGTCCCCTTTCCTTAGCCAGTGCCTCCTAGAGCTCCGTGACACTCTGCCCTTCCATCCCGTTCCCACTGTAGCACTAAACATAGTAGGCAGATTGTCCCTTTCTCTTCAGTTAGTTGGAGGCGTCTCCTTGGAAGTTCTACTCAGTGACTATTTTTTCCTAATAAAAATAGTGAGCCTGAAGAAGTTACTTCTAACCCAGCATGAGGAAAGGGCTATAATATAATATTATACTTATATTACACAGTATAAGTTTGCACCATGAAACTTTCAGGCTAAATAGGACAGTATGAATTTAGTGTTTTGAGACTGGTATCTGGAACCAGACTGCCAGCTTCAAATCCTTGTTCTGCCACTTACAAAGTTTTATAATTTAGGGCAAATTTCTTCACCTTTCTGTGATGTTCCTTCTGCAAAATTGAAATAATAATATTACCACCTACATGCTCCAATGGAGAATAAGTGAGAAAATGCCTCTAAGAACCTAGCACTGTGTCTGGAGGATAATAAAGGCCCCATTGTGTTACTATAGGGACATGGTGGGCAGGAGGCAGGCAGGAGGCCTCGCTGGGTGAGGACCCACTCATTGATCTGGAACTCCAGCTGTGATCTACACACACATGGGGATCAGGTGTGTATGTGCCCAGCTCGAGGCAAGGCTGAGTGGAGCCCTGCATTGTGGACACTGGTGGGGACTGAGGCAGGACTAGGAAGGTCAGTGAAGGGCAGAGCCAACATCAGTGCCATGACTCTAAGACTCCCCTCCCTGTATTCTGTGTCCAGATATGCACATGTGTGTGTGTGTGTGTGTGTGTGTTTGCGTGCATGGAGGGTGGGGGTTGAGGGGGGACAGTCTTTGTGTGTTGATGTAGTTTTCTGCAAGTCAGCCAAGTCCTGGCTCTATGATTGCTCTGGGATGTCAGGAGCAATCTTTGGAAGTTTATACCCAGAGAACCATGAACCTGGGATGGGGAGAAGTGAGGCCTAGGCCAGGAGAACAATGGTCACACGGGATCAAGGACAGAGTGCTAATGACTCTGGCACACAGCAGACATGGGGCAGGAAGGGTGCCAGGTGGCAGTTACAGGGAGCTGCTTACCACCCAGAATTAGTGGCCAAGCCCTAGAGCATGTTACTTAACCTTTCCAAGATCCACCTCTGACCTGTGTGTAGGGACATAATATTATCACAAAGTCCTCCTAAAGCCTTGTAGGGTTCCTAGGTAGTAATCTGTGCCCTACAGGTAGTAATCTGTGCCCTACAGGAAGTAATCTGTGCCCTACAGGAAGTAACCCATGAGTGTCCTGGTTTCCCCACTAATGTCAGCAATTGCGGATGACTAGGGCCATGCCCTGTCCTTGGCGAGTCCCATGGTGGGAAGACAAGACAGGGTCAGATAGGATTCAGAATTGCCACATCCAGGGAATGCAACCAGCCTTGCTCAGAGACTTTTAGGAAGCTGGGGCTGTGTGTTATAGATTAGAGCCCTGTTCATTTATGAAAAAGTATTATTTCTAGTCACTGAAACTGCAAATGCATATATATGTATATATATATATACACACATATATCTATATATATATTATAGAGACCCTCAGTCCAGAGCTGTAAACAAGGTACACAATCCTGCCATTGCAGATTTTACACTTCAGTGGAGGAGATGCTAAACCGCTATCTCCATGATAATTAGCAGTAGGGCTAGGAAGAGGTGTTGGGTGCATGACAGAGCATAAATGGGGATCTGACATGAGACAGGGAGGCTTCCCTGGGAGAAGCAACGCATAAGTGAATAGAGGCCCCTGAGCATTCCAGCAGGAGGAACACTAAATAACAGAGCACCGGGCAGGCTGGGAGACAGCAGCCCGGATCAAGGACACAGCAAACTTGAAGGCTGTGTGGGGAGGAGGGGAGAGTAATTCAGGAGCCAAACTGCAGTGAGGCTAGAATCCAGAGCAAGAGGAAGTGGGGTGCGGGATGGGCAGGAGATGCAGTTTTCACCAGAAAATATGGGGATGTCTCTAAAGGGCTTTAAGCAGGAGCGTCACCCAGTTAAACCTGCACTTCTAGGACCTGGGAGAAGTGGGAGAAGAGTCAGGAGGCCCAGTGGAGATGAACAGAAGGAGACGGAGCTGAGAGCCACTGGGTGGGAAAGCACCAAGGCTGGGTGCTGGGTGAGCAGTGGGAGGGTGGGAGGGAGAAGGATAGACATGGAGCTCAGCTAACCCGCTGAGGGGCTCTCAGTGGGAGGGCCCGAGATGGCTTGAGCCAGGCTGCAGAGGAATGGAGGATGCACAGAGTGCAGCAAGGCAGAACAGCGCACACACACGTGCACGTGCGCACACACACGCACACACACATGCACACACACATACGGCTGGAGGATGTATGTGCCAAGGTTGAAGGGTGTCATGTAAGGCTTGTGTGAGGACTGGGCACAGCCCGTGAGTGGCGACAAAGTCTGTGACTTGGAACAGAGGGAGCCGGGTAAGCAGCCATTTCTGCCCACCGAAGGGCTGCCTTCCCTGACTGTTCCTGCAGTACTGAGAGCAGATGGGCTGGAGGTGGGAGTAGTGAGAAGGTGGAGCCCATCAAATTCAGGCCCAAAACTGTACTTCTCAGGAATGAGGTGGCCTCACATGGCCTTGTGGCCCTTTAAGTACAGCAGCAGCAGATGGATGATACCCCAAGGGACTCTGTGAGATGGTGTGTCCCTGAGCAAAGACTGGTTCACATAGTCACTGCCTCACCCATCCACCTATGTACTCCAAGCCTGTGCCCAATGCCGTCCTAGGTACCAGGGCCTGGGGAATGCGCAAGGATGTGCTGCCCTCAGGAACTCAGCCTGTCCAGGTCCAGTGTGGGATGAGCTGGCCTAGCACATTGAGCTCCAGCCCACACTGAGGGGCCCAGCAGGGAGGTGTGCTATTCCCACTGCGTCTGCAGCCCCCCTGGCTCACTATCCTCTCAAGGTCCCCTGGCAGGAACTGCCACCACTGTGTTCAAATACTGTCCCAGGGAAATCAAAATCTCCAACTAAAAGATGCCATGAAGCCAAACTGGGCTGGCTTCCTGATGACAACTCTGTTCACCTTGCCTTGCTGTGGTCTCCTGTCTAACACAGGGGCCGGCTCCATCCACAACTGGAGCACTCAAAGAAATAAGCAGAGCAGGACTGCAGTCTCCCCTGGGTCCCAAGTGGGATCAGGCCTGATCCACTGCCCATCTCCACCCCTCGGCTCTACTTGCTGGCCCTGTGAGTCAAGCTCACCCCCTCCTTGCTGCCTTTCCTCTCCAAGACCTGGCCATGCTGTGCCTGGGGAGGCTGACCGCTCTGGATGGCGCCAATGGGCTCCCTCCCTACAGGCCCTGTTTTGCAGTGGTTTGTTCCTTCCTCTACCTTTGGGTGAAGCTCATGCCAAGTATCCCATGCCATAGGTATCCTGAAGTTCCAGAATGCCTCCCCTCCCCTTAGGTCCAGGGGCTCTCCTGGTGCCCCCTATCCCTTGCTGGTCTCCCTCTCCCTGAGTGTGCCATCTGCATCCATGAGACCCTGACCGATACCTCTCAGGCTCACACTAACTTCTCATCTTGGCTTCTCTAGCCTTTTAACCTCTACCACAATGAAGGAAAATTGGGATTTGACCACCAGGTAAACTGAGGGGTAGTTCTTCACTGTAGGAAAGTATTCACATAACTGCAAGTACCTCTGGTGGTGAGGTGTGGCCTGACTCCCACAGCCTGGTGGCAGCATTTAAGACCAAAGAGGCTGGGCACGGTGGCTCATGCCTGTAATCCTAGCACTTTGAGAGCCTGAGGAGGGTGGATCACTTGAGCCCAAAAGTTTGAGGCTGCAGTGAGCTATGATCACCACTGCACTCCATCCTGGGTGACAGAGTAGGACATTCTCTCAAAAAAAAAGACCAAGAAGGAGGGACGTCTGTTTATTTGTGGTGTACCCTTTGCACCAGGCCCTTATGTTCATGACCTTACCCAACTCTACAATCTTGCCAGGTAGATACATCATCTCCACTTTACAATTCAAGAAACCAAGGCTCAGATTCATAGAGAGACTTGCCCAAAGTCCCCAAGTTCATAAGTAGTGGTTATGGTAGAATCTAAGCTATTTAATTCCAAAGGCTGTGATTTTTCTAGCCTGGAGCTATAGGTGCAAAGGCTCCAGGAGGACCCCCAGACTCAGTGGCAGGGTGGTGTCTGCACAAGCGGGAACTGTCCTTGTGATGAGCCCATCAGGAGCGGCCTGAGCTGAGCATCACCCTCCACATTTGCAGCAAAGAGTCCCGGCGGGTGGTATAGGGTAAATGTTTGATGCGGAACCAGTGTCTGGGGATGATGTTTCCGCTGGGTGTATATAGCTCCTCCCCACGCTTGCCCAAGAGACTGCGCAGGGCCAGGTTGCCCGACAGAACCTTCTCATAGAACTCCACTCCACCCCGGGCATAGGTGGCAGAGATGGAGGCTGTGCGGCGGTCCAACCAGGCTTCCAGGGTGTGGGTGAGAGAGTCCTTGGACAAGGCATAGGCCACAAAGCCTGCCACTGCTACCAGCAAGCTGAAGGCAGCCCGTAAATTCATGGGGCTTCCATAGAGCCCCAGGGCATACTTGGCACCCACACTCAGTCCACAGGTCCCTGCCAAGTAAGCTGGCGCCAGCAGGGCCTGCAGGGCAGCGGTACTGCTTTCCAGGTACATCACCTCTCTGGCCAAGGCGAACTTCTGGGCTTCATGGGACAAGGTCAGGGCAGCTCTCAGCCGGGCGCCTGCTGGGGTCTGCCAGTCCACACTTTGCCCATGTATGACCACGGGATGGCCATTGTTGATCACTACATTCCCCAAGAAACTGGCAGGGATGCCCACCACAGCCCCAGCAGGGAGTCTTGGGAAGCCTGCACTCACAGGCTGGAAGGTGAAGGTGGTGAAGGACTTGTAGCAATGGCCTGAAGGGATGCCCATGTCCTGTAGCACCTCTTCGAAGAGGTTCTGCAGCTGTGGAGGGAGCAGGGCTGGCTGGCCCTGAGGCCAGTACTGGTAGAGCCATTGGATCACGGGATCCGGGAAGAGGTGGTATGAGATTTGAACTCCAAACAGGCCTGCACAGGAACCCGCCAGGAGGCCTGTCCTGTGTCTCTGCACAAATGCTGCGGCCCGCGACAGAGGACCTGCCATGAATGTGGTCACCTTGGACAATCTGGGCCAAGAAAAAACAAGTCAGCCGGTTTCTCTGGTTCAGCGTGCAGACTGAACATCCTCCAGGGGCCACTCCACCTTTTAAAACCGAAGTAACACAGCATAGCGGTGAAGAGTGTGGGCTCTAGAGCCAGAGTACCTGTGTTCAAACCCCAGCCCCATCTCTGCACATCATTTCCCTGTCTACCAAACAGGTGTGTCACAATAGCCCACTTCTAGGGTGGCTGTGATGAGCACATGAATGAACATACATAAAACATTTAGTGTCTGGCACAGAAGCAGATACCCTTATGATAATGGCTGTAATGACTTTTATTCCCATTGCTGGGCACAGCACTCCAACTGCCTCATTGCATTCATCACATGGTAAAGCCCTATGATTACTAATTTATAAGAAACACGTGTTCAATTTATTGAGTGCTTACTATATGCTAAACTCAGTTCTGAGTGCTCTAACAATTGAACCCTCACAACCCCATGACCTAATTACTACAGCTACCCCTATTTCAAGGCTGTGAAAATTTAACTGGCCAAAATCCTAAGTGAGTAAAATGACAATGTTATGGGCAGAACCGCATCCCTCCTCCTCCCCTCTTCCCCAATTCATATATTTAAGTCCTAACCCCCAGTACCTCAGACTATGGCTGTATTTGGAGACAGGGTCTTTAAGGAGGTAATTAAGACAAAATGAGGCCATCACTATGGATCCTAATCCAATTTGACTGGTGTACTTATAAGAAGAGATTAGGATGCAAACAGGCACAGTGGGAATTTCACATGAGGATCCAGGGAGAAGGCTACCACCTACAAGCCAAGGGAGGCATCAGAAGACACCAACCCTGTCAACACCTTGGTCTTGAACTTCCAGCCTCCACAACTCCCAGAGGATAAATTTCTGCTGGTTGGGCCACCCAGTCTGTGGTACCAAGATTGGTATGCTAAGATTGGCATGGCAGCTCCAGCAGACTAACACAGGCATAGTATTTGAACACAGGCTGTCAAGTGTCCACAGCAAACTTTTTGTTTTAGAAAACTGGTTATGCTAAATTACAAACATATACCAAAGTAGACAAAATAGTACATCAATCAACTTCAAAATCCTATCAACTCTTCCGACTCACATCTCCATCCAACTGGTTTATTTAGAAACATCCTAGGCATTCTATCACTTCATCCGTGACCATGTCAGTAAAAATTCACAATTATTTAACTTTGAAACTTACTGTATTCCTGTCCGTGAAAAGTGCTTAATTAGCAATGAGTTGCCGCAAACAAAAACGCAAGGTACCGCTTGGCCTATTTTAATCAAGAACTCCTATAAGAATCATTATCATTCGGGCTTTTTATCCCAATTCGGAAAGTGAGGCTAAGAAAGGAAGGGTCCTGGCCAAAGTCCAACATCCCTAGGACCATCGCGCTGCGGGGTGGGCCTAGGAGGCAGTGCTAAGCAGCCCGCCAGTGGCTGAGCGAGGAGGGGCAGCAGGAGCTCCGCACAGGGGACCTCGCTACGCTTTCACCCTGGGCCTCCTACGGTACTCCGTAGTCTGAACGCTCTACCGGGTCGCAGGAGGCCGGAAAAGGGTCCCGCCCCGCCGGTCTGCGCGCTCACCTGCTGTGTGCCACCGCCCCGGACGCCTACTTGCGCGCTTTGCAGGGAGGCCGCAAAGCATGCCGGCCCTGGATATGGGGGCGGGGATTTCAGGGGGCGGGGCTCGCCGGCCCGGAACCTGGAGGCGGGGACTTCAGGGGGCGGAGCTCGCGGGCCAGGGATCTGGGTGCAGGGATTTCAGGCAGCCGAGCTCGCTCGACGGGTTTCGGGGAGGGAACCAGGAGAGGGCTGGGGGCGGGACGCTTGGGGGCGGAGCTGGGGAGCTCCAGGGGCTGCTCGCGGGCGGCTCCGGCCGCCGCAGAGGCTCCTCCCCTAGCTGTGCACCTTTGTTAGGCGGGGTTGGGAGGGGGTGGTCCGCTAGCACTGCCTCCTCTGCGTTGAAAGGCATAAAAATGAGCCGGGCGTGGTGGTGGGCGCCTGGAGTCCCGACTGCTGGGGAGGCTAAAGCAGGAGAATCGCTTGAACCTGGGAGGCGGAGGTTGCAGTGAGCCGAGAATACACCATTGCACTCCAGCCTGGGCGACAGAGCGAGACTCTGTTCCCAGGAAAAAAAAAAGTCGTCTTTGATAATGCCGTTGAACCCCCCGAAGGAACGGTGGCCCCGCGTGTGTCACGAGGCGGCCTATGGCAGAGCCGCCGTCAGAGCCCATGCCCATCTGGCCGGCCGGTGTACTTTCCAGTCTGGAAGCGCTCACCCTCGGCGGGGAGCTCTGAGCTTTATGTTTTTATTACCACGTCTGCTGCCCCCGCCCGCCCGCCCCAAGCTCCTCCCAGGTGCTTTACTGTGCAGTCCACAGAGCAGCGTCGCATCTGTCACTTCTTTACAGCCGCTCTGTGAGGTAGATAGATGAGGGATCAGCCGTTCTGTTCACCAAATCCAGCGCGCCACCTACTTTTGTAAATAAAGTTTTATTGGAACACAGCCGTGCCCAATCCTTGACAGAAGGTGAAACCAGACGGCTCAGGGTTAAAGCCTGGCTCCACCCCTTACTAGCTTGGTGATGAAATGGGTTCGTGTACTTGCATCCTGTGCCTCACGGTTTGTGCCGCCTAGCCATTAGCTATTATTATTAAAGTCTGTTCTGTTTCTGAGACCCCAACTTTAGTTGCTCAGTTGTTTGCATGTAAATAGTGCAATGTGACCTCAGCCAAAGACAGAATGTGGGACAGCCTACAGGGCAAATGACGTGGTTTATCCAATAAATCAATGGCATAAAAAGACAAAGAAGGAGGGGGACTCAAAAGACACTTGAAAACGAGAGTGATATCACAGTTAAATACAATGTGTGACTTTTATTGGGATCCTGAACCAAATAAACTAACTGTAAAAAAGACACCTTGGACCGGGCGCAGTGGCTCACGCCTGTAATCCTAGCACTTTGAGAGGCCAAGGCTGGCGGATCACCTGACGTCAGGAGTTCAAGACCAGCATCACAATGGTGAAACCCCGTCTTTATTAAAATACAAAAATTAGCCAGGCATGATGGTGGGTACTTGTCATTCCAGCTACTCAAGAGGCTGAGACGGGAGAGTCGCTTGAACCTGAAAGATGGTGGTTGCAGTGAGCTGAGATCGCACCACTGCACTCTAGCCTGGGTGACTGAGGGAGACTCTGTCTCACAAAAAAAAAAAAAAAAAAAAAAAGACACGGAGAAATTTGAATATTAGATGATATGAATGAATTACTGTTTATTTTGTTAGATGGGATGACAACATGGAGTTTATGTAAACCAAAAAATTCTTACTAGAGATACATGCTTAAGTATTTACAGGTGAAATGACACAATGTCTACTATTTGATTCAAAATATTCCAACCAAACCAAATCAAAACAAAAAAACAGGGGCACAGATGAAACACTGACAAAGTGTTAGTTATTGAAGCTGCATGACAGGTTCAGGAATCTTCATTATAACATGCTCTACTTTTCTGTATGTTTTGAAATTTCCATAATAAAAAGTATATACATTTTTTTTTAAAGTAGGCTGGCCAGTTGGACTCCATCAAAATGAAAAACTTTTGGGCATACTATCAAGAAAAGTGGAAAGACAATCTACAAATAGGAGAAACTATTTACAAATCATAGATCTGATAAAGGTATAGATCCAGAATATATAAAGAACTCTTAGCAACTTAACAACAACAAGCCAATTAATAAATGGGCAAATGACTTGAGTAGATATTTCTCAAAAAAATATATAAAATATATGCCAAAAAGCATATAAAAATGTGCTCACTAGTATCAGTTACTAGGGAAATGCAAATCAAAACCACAGTGAAATACTATTTCCCAACCACTGGATTTCTATAACAAAAACAACAACAAAAAAAAAACCTAGAAAATAAATGTTGGAGAAGATGTGGAGAAACGGAAACCCTCATACATTGCTGGTGGGAATGTAAAATGCTGCAGCCACTTTAGAAAACAGTTTAGAGGTTCCTCAAAAAGTTAAACTTAAGCTAGGCTCAGTGGCCTGTGTCGGTAATCTGAACTACTTAGAAGGCTGAGATGGACTGCTTGAGGCCAAGAGTTCAAGGCCAGCCTGGGCAACATAGTGAGACACAGTTTTCTAAAAAATAATGGTAATAATTTTTCAAAAAAGTTAAACTTAGAATTACCATGTGAATCAGCTATCCACTCTTAGGAATATACCCCAAATAATTGAAAACAGCTACTCAAACAAATGCTTGGACCTAAATGTTCATAGCAACGCTATTCACAATAGTGGAAAGGTAGAAACCAAAATGTTCATCAACTGATAAATGGATAAACAAATTATGGCATAGTTCATGCAACGGAATATTATTTAGTCATGAAAAAGAATAAATACTGAGCCATACTACAACATGGATGACCTGATAAACATGCTAAGGGAAAGATGCCAGACACAAAAAGACAAAGACTGTATCCCTCCATTTATATAAAATGTCCAGAACAGGCACATCCACTGAGACAGAGAGCAGGTTAGCGGTTGCTAAGGGATGGGGGAGGGATAATGGGGAGTGACTGCTAACAGGTATGGGGCTTCTTTTCACAGTGATGACATGTTTGGGTATTAGATAGTAGTGACGGTTGCACAACATTGTGAATATACTAAAACCTGTGAATTTTTACCCTTTAAAATAGCTAAAATGGTAAATTTTATGTAATGTGAATTTTGTCTCAATTTTTAAAATGCATATATATGTAGGTTGGCCAATCCTACTGCAGAGCTGATGGAACATTTATCAATCGTTCAACCAAAGTGCCTGGAAGAGTTATTTCTCAGGAGTCAGGAGTGAGGACCCATGGGTAGGCAGGTGTTCTGCCTGAGGCTGAGCTTCCCAATCAGAGTGTGTGGTCATCTGCATCCTGTGCTTGGGTACAACCATCTCCAACAACTCCTCCCTCATCACTTTCTGGATGTCTGAAACGCTCCCTCTTACGTGTTCTTTTACTTATTCATTTAGCTCCTACCCTGTGCCAAGTCATGGGGCCAAAACATGGATAAGAAAAAGCCACAGCCCTCAGGAGCTCCCTGATCAATAAAGCAAACACACAAACCCTTGGGAGCAAACAGTCCTCCCCGCTTCCCCTTGCTAGGACCACAGAGGAGGTAATGGCTGCTGCATCACAGGAGGGTTCCCTGGTATCTGAACTCTAGAAGACTTTGGAATTTATGAGTGGCTAAAGGGGCAGAGTGGCGTGCTTTTCCTGTAGAGACTGGTGAGGTGAGAGCTGGTTCACTCCCAGCTCGCAGCCAGATCCTCTCCTGAGTGTGGGAGTGGATGGCCCCGAGAAAGAAGCAGCCACAATCAAATGGCAAGGCCCCAGAGTGACTTAAGGTTTAGGAGGGAGGCTCTCAGAGCTGAGGCTTATATGGTACCCAAACCTCCTTACAACCCCTAGGGTGAGGCCAGAGTGTTGCGAACGTCCAGCCCCGGCTGCCAGCTGCTGTGTGTCTGTGAGGCTGCCAGCTGGGTGGTAGGCAGCACTTTGCTGCTGCTGTTTGCTGGGATTCAGAAATGGCTGTGACAGGTCTCTTGTTCCTCCTCCTCCTCTGCTGAGATTCTCCTTTTCAGGAGTGCCCTGCTCTAGGTCTGGGGCTGGCTGGGGCCTGCTCCTGCTGCAGAGCCCCTGTCTTCCCCCTGCCAAGTGGCCCTGGCTAGGGACAGCACCCAGGAGTGCACTGGGGTTGTTGTGAACTGGGCCCACAATTGTGCCCACAAATCGTGCTCCCGATGTGCCAGCCAGCCAAGCGTCTTAGCGGCAGAACCCACACACAGGCCCTGGCTCTGCTAGCTGGGGTCTGACTTCTCGTCCCCTCCTCTCTGCTACTTGGTGGATTTGGCCAAACTTTCAGTAAGGGTTTGCTTATTCATTAATTTTATATTTTGTATTTATTCAGCACTTGCAAATGTAAGAAAATAAGACATAATCCAGTAAGGATAAAGTCTTTTTTTTTTTTTTTGAGACAGGGTCTCACTCTGTCACTCAGGCTGGAGCTCAGTGGTAGGATTTCAGCTCACTGAAGTTTTCACCTGCCAGTTTCAAGTGATTCTCCCACTTCAGCCTCCCAAGTAGCTGGGATTAGAGGGGAGTGTCGCCACACCTGGCTAACACTTTTGGTATTGTTAGTAGAGGCAGGGTTTTGCCATGTTGGCCAGGTTGGTCTCAAACTCCTGACTTCAGGTGACCCGCCTGCCTTGGCCTCCCAAAGTGCTGGGATTACAAGTGTGGGACACCGTGCCTGGCAGGTATAAAGCCTTATCTTAACAGGGTTAAAATAAGTAGGGTAGGGGTTCTTAGCTAAGGTGGCTAGGGAAGACCTCTCTGAAGAGAGGATTTCTAGGCTGAGACTTGAGGGAGGGGAAGCATGAGAGGGCCATATGTGTGGAAAATGTCCTCAGCAGAGGAAATGGCCAGGTCCAAAGCCCAAGGGCAGGAATGAGATTGTGAGTCCAGGGGGCAGAAAGCCCAGTGTGGCTGGACTAGAGGGAAGCCTGAGGGGAAGG